TCCTCTGGTCACTGCTGAGTTTTCCAAACTTGCTGGCATATTGAGTGTAACACCTTAACAGTGTCATTTTTAAAGATTTTAAATAGTTCAACTGGAATGCCATCACCTCTATTGGCCTTGTTGTTAGCCATCACTTAATAGAATGTTTTAAAATTTTCTGATTAGAGGAAAATTGAGTAGAGGGTTTTTCTGCCATCCTTTCTACTGTCACAACTCACTACATATGACACAGGGTTGTCACTGAAGAGAACATCACTCACAGCTCTATTTGGGAGTGAATTAAGCAACCATACAGATTGCAGAATGGGATAACCAAGAGTACTCTCAATCGCACCAAAGAAACTACAGCGCTGGCACTCTGCCAGAAAGGAGTAAAACAGCTTGGAAAAAGAGTGGGATGAAAATCTTTTACTTAAAACCCATGTGGTCACTGGAAAATAGGACAAATCAAACAGTACCAAAGTGACCCAAATATATGCTCCTCTGATCACCCCCTTGTTTCTGTTACGAAAATGGTAATGACTCAGAAATCAACTACTTTACCACATATTTTATTTAAAACATAAAGAGTTCTTCAAAGATCCAAAACCAGATCATATGTTTATATCTACCACCACAAAAGGAAAATAAAAAGAAGTGTTAGCTAACATGAATTCATTCTCACTCTTCAAATTTTGACTTGGTGAAAAAGACAACAGTTAAGTGACAAGTCTAATAGATAACTCTCATCATCAAAATAAATTCAATAAAAAGCAAATCTGAAGACAAATCCAACATATTTTCCCCATGTATGGATGACACCTTCCTGTCATTTTGGCAGTTCTAATCAAGTTACATCAAAACAATTATAAAACCCTCACTTGAGGGTGAAGAGAACCTGCAAGCTTATCTACATATGTCTTAAGAGATCTTCAATCAATGTGTGAAAAGGTGCATATGTGCAAAAATTCAGTTATTATTCATTTGTTTGCTCATTTAATTTCTTCCCTACCTTTCTCACTGCATATGATGAGGGAACCTTTCTTCAAAACAGGAAAGTTATCTACTACTCTTTGGAAAATGCAGTTATTCCAAAGAATAAGGAATACCTGTGTTTTCTCAGGAGCAGATCACTTTCTAGAATGATGTGGGGATGCAGCTGTAAGATTAACACAGGGTCCTATTAAGTAGGACATATGAGATCAGTGGGCAAAAACAATGGATTTCCCAAACATTTATGCTATTATGAAGCACATAAACACATTTAGAATGTTGGTTTATTTAATGTTACTTTCTCATCCTGTCTCTACTATGTCAATTAAGTGGCACAACCACTGTAAAAAAATTGCCAGTTAAGGCTAACCAACTCTTCCATCTCATGCAAACAGGTCTCCACTATATACACCAGATTGATATTTTCATTCATGGTGGATATTCTTCCATATCATGATTAGCAAATCAATGGCAAGACTTTCAAAAAAATTGGAACACAAATTATCAGGGTACCACAGCAAGTAAGGTCAGGCAAAGCATGTCCCATCATACCTTTGTTTGTCTCTATCCTACTTATGGCTGTATCTGATCCCACAACAGAAATACTCCCTTCTTCTCTTGAGGATCATCCCACCAGCCTTTCTCACATTCCAAAACCTCATAGCATTTCAGTCACCTCATTGTCCATCCCCACCCTGCTCCCACCAAAGTCCCTTCTAGACTGAGATTAACAAGAAAATTGTAGAAAATGTTTCCCCAGAAGAAACACCTACAAGCTGATCTACTTGGCAGCTGCCTGAAATCTGTCAAGGCTCTTCACTCAGCTTCTGGTCTCCTGCTCACTCCTTTTAGTAGGATTTTGATCCCAGGGTAATATTGTCCCAAAGCCTTTCCTGCATCCATTATTGCTTGTGTTTCAAACCAAGATGCCAAACTGTAACAAAACTCTACTATATAAACCTTATTTCTGAGGCAAGCGCCAAACCACTTTATCAGCCATACGTACTTGCAGATTGTAGTCCAGGATGGGCAATTGCAGCCCCTGCCAGGCCCACCCAGTGTGACTCTTTAACACCACTTCTAGTGCGACTCTTTAACACCACCACCCCTATCACTGAAAAATATTCTGGCCTGTTTATCTTCCTGCAACTTTTGAACCTGCTGGTTCAAAGTAGCCTTAAAACAAAACAAACAAACAAAAAGTGGATAGGTACAGATCATGGAAGTCCACAAAAAAAGTTGAAATGGCCCCCATGCATTCTGCAGTAGCTGTAGCCCTATGCAAGTCTTCAGTTTCATGGGAGAAAGACCATGGTGACATGTTGGCTGTTCTTGCTTTTTCAATACTTACACATGTAATGGTAATTGTCTATAGTAGTGAGTCAACTGTATTGATGTAGACTTTGTTATTGTTATGTGCCTTCAAGTCAGAATTGACTTAAAGTGGCCCTAACAGGGCTTTCAAGGTAGGTGAGATATTTACCAGTCTTTACCAGTTCCACACCTGCAGTGAGTTTCCATTGCTGAGCAAGGATTCAAATACAGTACAGGCCTCCTGAGTCCTAGTTCACCACTCTATCCACTGACCCCATTGATGTAGAGCTGTAGACAATTTAGAAAGCTGGCTGTTTGAGAGTTAATGTTTCTGGGTCTGCTAAAAACCAGGCAGTAGCTATGGTGGTTAGAGCACTGGTTTGGGAATTGAGTGATCCAGACTTAAATCTCCATTGAGCTATAAAAATCACTCAGTCTCTTGGTTGCTGAGAGGCTAAAGTAAGGGCACTGCTTTGAGGAGGAAAGATGGCATATCATGTAACTAAGAATTAATAAAAATGAGATGAGTAGAAGAGGAGGAAATAACTTGAAGCTTTTTCTAGGCTCAGTCACTATGTATATTGTATATTTTGCCTCTCCTCTTTACCTAGACAATCACCACATTCTAACCTCAAGCGGGTTTTAGCAAGCCATTCTTCTCCCTTCTGTCGTTGTGTACCTTTGTCACCAATGTACAGTAAATATTATGAACTGTATAATTAGCTACCTGCAGCAATGTTAAGGTCACAGAGACAGAGATTTTCTCTCCCTTTTTATGTCACTACTTCTTTTCTACATGTTTTTATTTAGGGAGAAGAGGAAAACAGGAAGTGAGAAAAAAGATAGTAAGAGCTCAGAAAAGCTGTAAAGATCTTGCATATAGTTATGAATAATCATTTAAAACAGATGTTTACATAGCTTATTTGTAGCATTAGCTTAACAGTGATAGAAAACTGGATCAGCAACTTTGAGACAGGACTCCAACAGAAACACATAAAAATGGAAAGTAAGGAACTCAAAAGTATGATTAGAACATTTTTACGCTGTAAAAGTATTTGTATAGTTTCATTTCATTTACCACACACACAAAAAACTACATAATCTAAAGAAAAATACTGAACATAAAATTATAAGCTGTATTTAGATACTGTTTGTATTTTCCAACAAATATTGAAACAGTAGAACCATAAATTGGAAAGCTATACAGTGAAGCGAATTCAAATTAACTTGCATTCTCTTGCTGTGAAGTCACACCAGGGCATTCGGTTCTCTTCGATATAAAAGTACAGCAAGACTAGCAGCGGGGAGCAAGCTAGTGTGGGTTACTTGGTAACGGTTGGGAAATGGCTCCTGCCAATATCCTGAAGTGGCTTAATAAGCAAGCCACTTCAAGATATTGGCAAATTAATGATTTCTCCTGCTTGGAAAGGGGCAGGGGAAGCAGAATGTTTTTTAATTAAACTGTCCCATCTGCCTCATATTAAGAAAAATGCTTCACTAATTTTTCATTATACTGCCACCCCAATACCAAAAACTAGTTCAGGATAACATGAAATGTATTATTTAAATCTGACTTATGTTTCATCACAGGATAGTCATGTCATATCTTTTAATGGGCTCTGATCAGGATGATGTTGGCAATTTAGACAAATTATGATTGTCCCCATAGGTCAAGATAACACTGAATCCAGATCTTCCTCCCACATTTTCCAGGGTTACATCCCACAAACATAAACACGTTTTGTTCTTCTAGTAACAGCATCCCAGAAAATGTAGCTTGAACAGGATCGCCAGGTTTCCTTGTGACGCCTGCAGTCATGGGAAATCAGAAGGTGTGAAGACCCCAGCATCAACAAGATCTGCTACTTGTTAACCATGCTTTTTTTTTTGTAGCTGCCTGAAACAGCAGTGAAGGAAACACAGTATTCTCCCTAACATACGTGGATCAGATATTTTAGTTCCCTCAAAGTCACATTGGTATCACAAAATCTACACAAATCTAGACCCACAATCGAGATGTTCTTAAAAGAGACATCATGGAACCCCCTGAGATGACTAAAGTTGGTTTTTGAAAGGCTACAATTTTTAGAATGCCCTAAGCAGGATGGCCATTGGCTGGGAAAATTAACTCTTCTGTGTCATCCCTGGACATTCCATGACATTATTTCTAGCACTGGCATAAACTATTTCTTTAGATTTCAGCCATATACATCTTTTTCCTACATAAAGCAACAACAAAAATGTTTGGGACATCTAGCTTTCCAAATAAATCTAGCAGTTGTTGCCATGTGGGGAACTTTATTTTGCCATTTGGGGAGGTCTAGATGCCAAGTGATTAAAAAAGGTCTATCCTTTTCCAAAGTCTAAAATTCACTCATCCAATTATATTTTAAATACAAGAAACCACATTCCCAGATATTATACAGGCAACAATACCAGATGATAAAATGAATCTTGGTTATAGCAGAAAGAGGTGGAGCCTGTCAAATCTAGTCCAAAGTGGAAATCACTAGTAGGGACAACAACATGGCTATGAACTGCATGAGATATTTCAGTCTACTATCAGATGAAAATCAGTATGGTTTCAATTTCAGCAGATTCATGAAGCTCAACATTGATAGTTCTACAACATCACCATCAAAAGACACACCCATACATACATGAAAATTAATATAGAATTCGAAACCAGCATGGAAAATATCTGTTAAGCTAACTGCTGTTCCCTTACTTGTTAATTTCCAGAGAGTGCATCCCATATCGACTTTCAATTGCATATTTGCCAGGATAAGCATGGACATTGATAGGAACATTGTTTTTATACCTGTTAAACAAAAAAAGAATGTTTGTATAATAAAATAAAGAAGTTAGACACATGGAGATGAAATATATCCATAAACCTTAATGCAAAAAAAAGAGTGTAACTCCAGTCAGATTCTCAGGGTGTCAACCACCAGCTGTTCAGCAGAGAAGCTAGGCTTGGAGACTAAATGCAGCCACCTGCTTCACATTCTGAACAGCTGACTGACATTATTTAAAGTATCTCACTAGGAATATTTGTGTGCTGTTGAATCAGGCAGGAGGAGTGCTCCTAGAGCAGCCATTTACACAGAGGATCCCACATCTAGCTAAATGGTGTCAAGTCAGAGATGAGAAACAAGGGGTTTCATTTAGTTTTAGTTAGAGCAGATCTATTGCAAAGAATGGCAGGGTTTCAGGCAGCATTATTTCCTTCCTGGAGATGTTAGGAATTTAACCTAGGAAATGTGTGCTGGATTCCCAAATATCAATTCTCTTTAGATTTCAGCAGTTTTCTGGTTTTCAGCCACGAGTCCCACGGATTTCAATGGGTTTTCTCTGACCAAGTCTGGATCTAATTTATAATCACAGCAAAACTTTAATAGCTGTATTATTTTCATGTCAGTCACACCTACCTACATCCGATGATTTTCAAAATTGTTACTTTGAATGTATTATAAATTATAATTATTCATTATTCAACTTACTAACAATAAACTAAGACTTCATCTGGATAAAATGGAAGCTAAGGGATCAGATGATGTATGATTCAATGTAAAACCTGCTTGAAAAGCAATTGCACACACCCATATGCTCGGACTTGCAATTTGTGAATACCTCTAGATCCAACACCCCTAGACATGGGGATGAATAAAAAAATAAATCGCGATATTCTTCAGAAAGCACTGATTCCTGTAATATTTGTATTACATTTGTCGGAAGCCCAGACAAAGACAAAGTGACAAATAGCAGCTTAACTTGCTCTCTCCACCTATGGGCCCACTGAACAGCTGTTGTGAAGGCCCGCTCTCTCTCTCACCCCACAAGTCTGCTGAGTGCTCCCTTCCCACCACCCCGTTGCCTCCCTACCTTGTCCTGCTGTTGCTGCCACTGCACTGCAACCTCCACTGGAACGGAAGCTAGGCTGCCATTCTGGCCAGCTAGCCTGCCCTCTTTGAGCCTCCCAGACACCCATCAGCAGATTGGTACATGCAGAGGCAGAGACAGCAGGCTAGCCTGCCAGAATGGTGGTTTCCATTCCAGCAGCCTAGCTTCTGTTCTGCTGCTGCTGGTGGAGGTATCAGGACAAGGTAGAGAGGCAAAGGGGGGCAGTGGGAAGGGGGGCAGATGCTGGCAGGGGGCTCTGCTTTCTTTCTTTTTTTAAGACAGCTGCAGGCTATCCAAAAAAAACTTCAGCAAACCAATTTGTGGTTCATTGGAAAACTCAGGGATGAGTTCTGGGCTGTGGGTCATCAACCTTGACAACCCATGAATCATGATGAACTGCCATTTTGTCAGTTCATCCCCATCTCCAAACACTGCTACTGGATGCCCAGATGGCTGCTATGGTTAGCCAGCTTCATCTTATCTTTCATAAGGAGGACATGGCCCCTGTTCCTCACAAATTGGTAATGCCCAGGATACTGGAAAGGGTGAAGGACTTTCAAAGGGCAATGGGGATCTATGAGGGTATCACTCAGCCCCATTAATGCCTATGGGCTCTTCTGATGTAATTATGCTGGTTTTAATTTAACATTTTAATACAAACTGTATTGGATGGAAAGATGGGATATAAATACATGTGCAGGATTACAGATCATCAATAAAATGCTTGCTTTCTTACTTTATGGTCCAATTCCATGTGTAGATTATTGCAAGTAGGGTAAGAAAGAAAATCTGATCAGGGCAACCAATGGCATTTTGAGAGATGGAGATAGAGGGAGACTGAAATACTGATTCAAACTATTCATTCTTTCTGATAGAGAAAAAAGTAAATCTGCAGATCTTTAGTTGTTTTTCACATTGTCAATCTCTAATTGGATATGGCTATTAACACGCACACACACAAGAACAGGACCAAAAAACAGAAGACAAAAATATTCTCAGTACAATCCATGTGGCCAAACAATATAGTGACAGTTATTGTGGGTTTTTGTGAAAAACCCACAACAACCATCAGATCCCAGCCATGAAAGTCTTCGAGAATACAATATAGTGACACTTAATTGTCTTACTTCCAATTGTATTATATTTAGCTCTTCTAAAAGACAATCACAATGATAGTTGTTTCATATATCAATCTTCACACTGAAGGCTGTCTTTTATCACCTCCTGCTGTGGAGAAAGACCAGCATATGCAGTTGCATGTGATAAATAGAAATGGTATTGAACTTTAAAATACTGTAAAGTCAAGAGCTGACTTCTTAGGAAACAGTATATTATTTAGCATTAATTCTGCACTAACGCTTGAAAAGTATGTATAAAACAGACAGTTGGGTCAAGAGAAAAAGCACATCATTTTGTTAATGGCAAATCAGGATCTCAAAGCTGAAAATTCTAGTGCAGCAGCAATGGAACTTTATCACTTTTTAACCTATTCTGTATCATGTGCTGGTTAAAGCAACTTGAAAGGAAGATGTGATTAACACATCAAAATGTGTTCATTAGACATACTACAGTAATGTGTTTGAATGGAATTAATTTAAGTGTAAAAGTGTAGCAATCTTGATTACAAGGCTCCATCATCCATCCAAGATGGCATCAAGAGGTAAAATCAAAATCACAGTCTGAACTGATTGATATTGAAATCACTTAATTTGCATACTAAAGATTTTAGGAAATGCTTCCCTGCCTCCATCTCTCAAAATGCCAATACCATTGGTTGCCCTAAACAGATTTTCTTTCGTACCCTTACACATGGAATTGGACCATGTGTAATTTAGGACATCTTACTAAAGGAAGAAATTTAGATGATACTAGTAGTCTCCCCCAACATGGTTTATCCTCACAAAAGCTCTGTGTTGTAGACAACAGACCAATAGAAGAGAAAATTGTTGTTGTGGGTTTTTTGGGCTGTTTGGCCATGTTCTGGAGGGTTTTTTTTCCTAACGTTTCGCCAGTTCCTGTGGCTGGCATCTTCAGAGGACAGGAGCTAGAATTCTATCTGTGTTCTGGTGTAGTTGTGGGATTGTTGAATATTTGTAGCTGTGGGATAAGGCTTTTTTGTTGTTGCTGCTGCTGTGTGTGTGTGTGTGTGTGTGTTTTGTTCTTTTTAGGAGATTGGGGGTACTAGCAATCATTATGTTGGACTACGCAGGGAAGCCATTGAAATCCACAAACACCAGCACAGCTTCAACAAAAAAGTAGAAAGTCTAAAAATGAACAAAGCCTGGCTCCATACACAAGGACCGGTGATCACTGCACACAAAAAACTAGCCAACGACATCAATCAATCACAGTGACAGATCATCTCCCACTTATCACAACAAAACACACATAAGAAAAAACACCTTGATCACAGAAAACCCCCAATCTCATGAAAAGAACAAAAACAAAACAACACAAAAAACAACCCAACAGCTCCCACTGTTATTATGTGCTAACAAGTTGTACATATACTAAAATACCTCAAATAACCTGGGGTTTCCATTTCATTTTCTCTAGAGAACCTAATAAAACAGTTTGATTAAATGAAATATTTCACAATATAATAATAAGATTTATTCTCAAGAGTCCATGGAAGCTTTTTCATTCTCAGTACCTATAAGTTTTCCATGATCACACAAGTGCTGTTTGGTTCAATCACATGAGTGACATTTGATCAACAAGTGATGTCAGATCAGGTTAATTGCACTTCATGTCCCAGAGCAAAACACCTGTTTGGAGCCCGTCCCTCATTCTTTCCACTGCAGCTAAATGTATAAATTGCAGTTCTGTGCATGTTCAGTCAAAAGCGGCTCTCAGTGAGTTCAGTGGAGTTTGCTCCCAAATAACTATGTATAGGATTATGTGGATATGGGTAGGAAGCTGAAAGGCCTGGGTGCGCAGGTTGTAATCTCATCTCTCCTCCCTCTTGAAGGACATGGCCCACGAAGGGAGAGAAGAATAATGGAAGTGAACAACTGGCTCCACAGATGGTGCTGCAAGGAACGATTTGGCTTCTTGGACCATGGTCTGCTATTTCACAAATATCATCTTTTGGCAGGGGATAGGGTGCACCTCACAGCTGTTGGCAGTAATGTTTTGCTAAGAGACTCACCAATCTGATCAGGAGAGCTTTAAACTGAGTTCGGGGTGAGGGAGAGGTAGGCAATAGTTTTCAGGGCAGAAATTCAGCAAGTGCTGGCAAGAAAAACCCAGCAAGGCAAGTAGTACTAGAGAACAACAAGGAGAATAAAAATGTCTCTACACTGATGCACAGAACATGGGAAATAAACAAGATGAACTGGAATTCTTAATATAGCAAAATAAATATGATTTAATAGGTATCACTGAAACCTGGTGGGAGGAAACTCTTGACTGGAATGTAGTTATTTTGGGGGGGATATAAACTATTTTGGAGAGTTAGACCTACACAAAAGGAGGAGGAGTAGCTTTATATGTCAAGGATGTTTATACTTGTGAAGCGATCCAGGACTTAAATCCAGGAAGCCAGGTTGAGAGCATCGTTGGCAGTCAACTGCAGTCTGCCAAGAACATAAGGTCCTGCAAATTCCTCACCTTGCAGACAATTCCATGGTCCAGAAGGTAGAAGAGGCAACAAGGGGATCAGCTGTTTTAGATCTGATCTTAACCAACAGGGATGACCTTGTTAGTGGGGTTGAAGTGGTGGGATCCTTAGGTGGGAGTGACCACGCTCTCTTGGAAGTTGTTATACAGTGGGAAGGGGAAATCAAGTGCAGCCAGACACACATTCTAGACTTTAAGATGGCCAGTTTCAGTAAACCTAGGGAATTACTGGCTGTAATTCCATGGACAAAGATACTGAAAGAGAAGGGAGTTCAGGATGGATGGAAATTTCTTAAAAGGGAGATACTAGAGGCACAATCTAAAACTGTTCCAATAAGAAGGAAAAACAGGAGATGTCTAAAGAAACCAAAACAGTTGACTAAAGATCTTTCAACTGAACTAAGTGTTTAAAAAAACATGTACAAGAAATGGAAAAATGGGGAAAACACCAAAGAAGAATACAAGGAAATAATCAGTATACATAGGGGGAAGGTAAGAAAAGTAAAAGTGCAGAATGAACTCAGGCTTGCCAGACAGATTAAAAACAATTAAAAGGACTTTTATAGTTATGCCCACAGCAAAAGGAAAAACAAGGAAATGATAGGGTCGCTGCATGGAGAAAATGGCCAACTACTAACAGGGAAAAGGCTGAACTTCTGAACACCTTCTTTGCCTCAGTTTTCTCCAAAAAGGAAAATAATGCACGACCTGAGGGGCAAAAAGCAGGTGATGTAGTGGGGGAAATACAGCACAGAATAGGTAGAGAAGTAATACAGGAATACCTGGCCACTCTAAATGAATTCAAGTCTCCAGGGCCAGACGAATTACATGCAAAGATATTAAAAGAACTGGCAGAAGTAATTTCAGAACCATTGGCATTAATATTTGAGAATTCTTGAAGAACAAGAGAAGTCCCCACAGACTGGAGGAGGGCAAATGTTGTCCCTGTCTTCAAAAAGGGAGAAAAGAAGACCCAAATAATTATCACCCAGTCAGCCTGACATCAATTCCTGGAAAAATTCTAGAGCAAATTGTTAAACAGACAGTTTGTTATTACTTAGAAAGCAATGCTGTAATCACTAAAAGTCAACACAGGTTTCTCAAAAACAAGTCAGGCCAGACTAATCTGATCTCTTTTTTTGACAGAGTTACAGGATTCATAGATTTATTTTATTTTATTTTATTTATTTGATTTATACCCCGCCCATCTGATCTACTGTAAAAGACCACTCTAGGTGGGAAACGCTGTGGATGTAGCATATCTTGATTTCAGTAAGGCCTTTGACAAAGTTCCCCATGATATTCTTGTAAGGAAGCTAGCAAAATGTGGGCTAGACAGTGCCACTGTTCAGTAGATTTGTAATTGGTTGACTGACCAAACCCAAAGGGTGTTCACCAATGGCTTCCCTTCATCCTGGAGAGAGGTAACTAGTGGGGTGCCTCAGGGTTCTGTTCTGGCCCCTGTGCTATTCAACATCTTTATCAATGACTTAGATGAAGGAATATAGAGTATGCTGATTAAATTTGCAGACGATACTAAACTGGGAGAGGTTGCTAATTCTCCAGAGGGCAGGATTAAAATTCAAAATGACCTTGACAGATTAGAGTCCTGGGCCAAAACTAACAAAACGAATTTCAACAGGGAGAAATGTAAGTTCCTACACCTAGGCAGAAAAAATGAAATGCACAGATGTAGGATGGAAGACACCTGGCTAGACAACAGTACCAGTGAAAGGGATCCAGGAGTCTTGGTAAACCACAAACTGAACATGAGTCAGCAGTGTGATGCAGCTGCCAAGAAAGCCAGTGTAATTCTGGGTTGCATCAATAGAAGTATAGTGTCTAGATCAAGGGAAGTAATAGTACCACTCTATGCTGCTTTGGTCAGACCTCAACTGGAGTTTTGTGTCCAGTTCTGGGCACAAAATTCAAGAAGGATGTTGACAATCTGGAATATGTCCAGAGGAGGGCGACCAAAATGGTCAAAGGTCTGGAAGCTATGTCCTATGAGGAGTGGCTTAGGGAGCTGGGAATGTTTAGCCTTACAAAAAGAAGGTTAAGAGGGGACATGGTAGCCATGTTTAAAAATTTGAAGGGATGACATGTTGAGGAAGGGACAGGTTTGTTTTCCAAAGCTCCAGACACTAGGACAAGGAGCAATGTTTTCAAACTACAGGAAAAGAGATTCCACCTGAATCTCAGGAAGAACTTCCTGACAGTTAGAGCTGGTTGGCAGTAGAATATGCTGTCTTGGTGTGTGGTGGAGTCTCCTTCTTTGGAGGTTTTTAGGCAGAGGCTGGGTGGCCATCTGTCGGGATTGCTTTGATGGAGTTTCTGCATGGCAGGGGGTTGGACTCGATGGCCCCTGTCATCTCTTCCAATTCTGTGATTCTATGATTCCAAGCTAAACACCAAGAAAATTCTGGTAAAGGTAAAGGTTCCCCTTGACATTTAGTTCAGTTGTGTGCAACTCTAGGGCGTGGTGCTCATCCCCATTTCCAAGCCATAGAGCCAGCGTTTGTTCAAAGACAGTTTCCATGGTCACATGGCCAGTGCGACTAGACATGGAACACCATTACTTTCCCACCAAGGTGGTACCTATTTATCTACTCGTATTTTTGCATGCTTTCAAACTGCTTGGTTGGCAGCAGCAGGGACAAGCAATGGGAGCTCACTCCATCATGTGGGTTCGATCTTATGACTGCTAGTCTTCTGACCTTGCAGCATAGAGTCTTCTGCAGTTTAACCCACAGTGCCACCATGTCCCTAACAAGAAAATTCTAGTTTGTAGTAAATAATTGTGTTGAATTTTATAGTGTATCTGTATGTACATATGTGGAACATATTTACATTTATATTTAATTAACATACATAAGATCACTTTGGGAACATGTGTTTATGTGGACAAGAACACTGGAAGAATGGAAAATCTAAAATTATGTCACTCTGAAGCAGACCCTCCTAAAAGGCATAGAAAATTCTAGTTTGTAGTAAATAATTGTGTTGAATTTTATAGTGTATCTGTATGTACATATGTGGAACATATTTACATTTATATTTAATTAACATACATAAGATCACTTTGGGAACATGTGTTTATGTGGACAAGAACACTGGAAGAATGGAAAATCTAAAATTATGTCACTCTGAAGCAGACCCTCCTAAAAGGCATGAGATCAAGAAATTCAGAGGCGTAATAGAACTTATTTGCCTTTTCCAGGGATCCATATGCACTTGGTTTCCTTGCACACTAGGAAAGCACCATTCACTTGCACTGTATACAAATTACCTAATAGATTATAGATTCACCCATTGAGAAGAGAGGGGGAAACATTCTGCCTTTTATTAAAATGTCATGTTGTAAATCACTCCTGGTTGTTTCTTTTTTTTAATGTGGAGTACAGATTGAGTGAGTGAATGAATGTACAGTTATGTGTGCATATATTCTGTATGCTCTGAGGGATAGAGGATGACACCATATGCCACTAGGACTTTGCAGCCAATGATGAGGTGGTAGGGCTCCTGTCTTTCACATGCTAATCTACATATCATTCAAATAAACTTGATCAAACATACTATTCCTTTGAGTACAATAATCAAAATGAAAATCAAGTATGAATTATCCCATGAATGGTGAGTACAAATTACAAGCACAAATTATCTCACGAGTTAAAATAAAACCTTAAAAGATAGATAGATAAGATAGATAAGATAGATTAGATAGATAGATAGATAGATAGATAGATAGATAGATAGATAGATAGATAGATAGATAGATAGATAGATTAGGTAGGTAGGTAATTTACCTGAGTGAATCATTTCATGTATGAATCACATTTATTAGCTATTGTCAAAGATAATGAATAAAAGACTCAACCTTTTTTTCAATCAAGAGTTTCATGTTTCTCAGTTAGATATGCAAATGTTTAACCTATTTTACATTCATGTATACAATCAGCAATTTGCAGTGTTGATAAACGAGCTCACCATGTAAGACGAGGTTCTGGCCAGCCAGCCACAGTACAGTGAAATTTGACATTTTGTTTTTCCCAGATAGTGTGTGAACGAGGCTTGATTATAAATTCAGGAGCATGTAAAAGACTATCTTCATTCAACTTCCTGTGGAATTCTTCTGTCTCTCTTAACTGGAAGGCAAATATTTCATCTTAAAATTGTTCATGGAGCAAGTGCCATTTCATAATGGAGGATATTTTTTCCTAACTCTTCTGCATATGTTGACTGAAACGTATGACAGGAACTTGGGGATAAATTGTTTCATTTAAGTCAAGTAGCATTATTATGTGCAAACAGCATAGGCCCTGGCATCTAGAACATGTGTGCTTTCTGCAACATCACCAGTGACATCACACATTGTATTCGAATGAGAAGCAACTATGAAATTCAGGTGATTAGATGCTTACCATTTGGATGTGCTAGAACTATAGCAACATGGCTGCCTGACAGCAGGGAAGCAGAGATTTGAGTAAGCAGTAACAATACAGTCACAAGTCATGACTTTGGCTTGGGCAACAGCTTTGTCACAACTAATTTGATTCATCCCACTGGATGACACATGAAAAAGATGGTACTCAAAACAGGAGTGCCATTCCATTCAGTATTCAACACTATCCAACTTCTTTCTAACAGGCCTAACTTGAAACAGAGATATCCTGTTTTCTATTTTCCCCCACTTCACTTGGAACAATATTGTGTGAATTAGCTTTGACCATAATAATAACCAACCAACCAACCAACCAATCAATCAATCAAATGCAGAAGTGTAACCTTGTATCTAATGAAGAGTGCTCAAGGATACAAAATGTGTTATGTCACAATAATTTGTAAATCTGTAAAATATCACAGGAATTTTCAACAGTTTTATGGGACAGAACACAGGCAATGTTTTAAAAATGAGAAACCTATATGTTGGCAAACACAAGCATTCTACTGAGTGGTTAATTTTAGTATACGAGCTTTTGTGCTGGATTCAGAGACTCTAAAGACCCTTGCACTCTGTATATCTAATAAATACATTGGCCAAAATCTTGTAAATAATGTAACCTTTAGCAGTGAATTGCTGCAATTCACAAAGTCAGTGTACACATTATCTATTGCATACTGAGTTATGCAACTCAGCATGCATCAGTAGAAACCCTATAACCATGGGGAATTGATTCTATGATCTTCCATGGTGCCTGAAATCATGGATATGAGGAAACCCAATATACAAGATACAAGGGGGCAGGACATGGCCGCAAGGAAACACCCTTATATGTTGCATATAGAGCTGCAGCAAACTGCAGATAAGTAAAACTGTGGTTAAGTGAAACCACAGATACCAATCCCATGGATATAGGAGCCCTACTGTAAAGTCTACACTAACTTTGCAACTTGCAGCAATTCACCACCAAACATTATACCATTCAAGCTATGCTAGCAATAGGATTTGGGCCATCATCTGTAACAGATTCCTAGTGGTGCCTGGATTATTATTCTGCATCATATTTAGTATACAAATTTATCTGAATTTAAAGGTTGGAGAAGTAATGTAGGATGTTTCTATCTGCAGATTTCCATATGGAAATTAATAATATGCTTTTTTACAAAGCAGCACAACAGTTTGTAAATATGGTTATCATACAGTGACACTTTCCTTTTATAAAACAACAGGTAGTCATATAGTTATTGAGTACCGTTTTCTTTAGGGACAGGCGTTCAGCTTTCTCTCGTATTGCTACTTTTCTTGACTTCTTCTCATGTGTTTCTTCTTCTACAGAAGATATTTTCTTACTAGTTGCTGTAATTCCTTCCCCAGTTGCAAAAAGGTTCCTCTTGGCAACATATGCAGCAGTTTCTTTAATCCTTTCTTGTTCTGTGTCTGTAATCCCACTAACATAGGTCTGTCTGCAATATTTTAAAAACAGAGAAGGTTCATGGGACATTGAATGGAAGGCAAACTGTTTTGTTTTCTATCTTAAAACATACAGTTGTGTTCAAAATTATTCAGCCCCCACTGAAATTGAATGTTTTGGCCATTTTGACATTGATTTTGATCATTCAGTCATCTTGCTTACATTTACATGAAAGAGGCACTTGTAGGTCAGAGAAATATAACCTTAAGTTTATAATGAAATAACCACAAATGTCTTTTCTGTGCTCACATCATTATTAGTTTTTATTCAACCCCCAAGTGACATTCAATCTTAGTACTTAGTACAACATCCTTTTACAGTTATAACAGCTTTTAAACGTGAAGTTCAGCTATGGTAACATCTTAATACTACTTGATCAGAAGAAGGGAAAGAAAAATATGAGAAGAGTTCCTTCAACTTTAAATTAATCATAGCTAGGGCTTGATTCTCCAAGGTGTCTCCATATTGTAAATGGAAGAATGTATTATTGTACACATATATACAGTTTAATCAGGTATGCCCTTACCTTACTCATTGTGAAGCTACAATAAAACAACAAAGGTTTGAATTAAAGGCTGACACCTATTAATAAGAAGTACAAGGGGCAAGATATGCAAATAAGAAGAATGACTTTGCTCTTTTTTTCCCAAGGGAGGCACATGATACCTCTATTAGAAAAAGGAATTAAAATGTCCTTACTTAAAGCCTCAATGAAAAGTGTTGTTGTGACTGGGGTAAATATAATATATATGGTTGTTTGTACTGAGACCAGTGATAGAAAGATGATACAGATGTGCATAAGTCAAAAGAAGTAGTATAGGAAAGGAATTTGCAAACCAGATAACGCAACCAAATGTTTGGTACATCATAGGAGCTTCAATGGAACATGAACGGGAATGTAAAATGACAAAGCTCAAATATTCTCAAAGCAAAATGTGAAGGAGATTGGGAAAGGTCCAGGATTCACTGATGGTGAATGTATTACCACCACTATGGCCCCACCCCAATCACACAAAAGTGTAAATTCATGCTGTGAAGAGGTAGGGGTTGCTTCTGATTCTAGAGTTTCACGTCAGTAACTTCTGCAACTCTGATAGGTTATTACATTTAGCTATGCATGGCCCAAAACAGGCCAAAACAGAACACTAATCTGAATGAAGTTTGCACATGCTGACTTAATGTAGACATATATGCAAAGCTGCAAAATAAAATGTTAACACTATACTTTGATATATATCACCTAAATGGGAAAGATTACAGAGGACTTATCTGCTTGCTTAGTCTGCTATCAAGATACAAACTGCCAACAAACTCCAAAGCCCCCACTTGCTCTTGTTTTAGTTCATCGTCATGAAACTTCTGAAGGTACACTTCTGAACAGGAAGTTTTCCTCTGATAGCTCCTCAGACAGGAAACTGTCCTGTATAAAAACATGGAATGCTATATGCCTGATACCTTTCCTTCAGCCCCAAAGCAAATCTCTAGCAGATGATTCAGAAAAGGACAGTCTAATGGTATTGGAAGAGAAAGGCTGAAATTAAAGTGGAATGCCAATAGCTCAGGAATCCTAAATACGTAAAAATAACTGCTTTTCACATAATATAGGGGTTCTATTTTCTGAATTATGTTCCCTGTGTATTTTTACAGTTTGGATATACCCAAAATGATTAGCCTACTTGTTCAAAGTCTCACAGGCCAGTGCTGAAAACTGATTGTGTTTCTACAAAGGCGACTTTCAATTTAACCTAAAGAGGACCAATGTATGATCTTCTAAGGACATACATTCCATACCTGTACTCTCATTCAGTGGGACTTAATCCAAAGGAAGGGTGAACAGGATTACAGTCCGTATCATGGTCCAGCTCCCTCAATTGTCACTACACATAGGGCCGAGGCCACAGTAATGTAACTGGGAGCTTATGATTCCTTAACAGCAAAGATAAAATTGAAAAAAAAAAAAGGAAAGCTCCGATAGGGACTAATGGCAATAGTGTTGTTCACAACACTGTCACCAGTCACTGGTCACCTTGATGTGCACCTACAATGACCCCATATTAATAATTCACAGTATGCACAAATCAACGTGTGATGACAGGAAGAATACTAAGGCTATGTTACATCATGGAAAAGGCCAGATGCACATGAAGACATCTAGTGGTATACTGGAGCTGATCTGGACATTTACAAACAGCCTCACTCCAACAGTTGACTTCCTTATCTCCCCATGCTTCATTTTGCCCAGCCACTCTTCTTAGATATTTAATTCACTGCAAACCCAGTTTCTGCTAGCTATTTGTAATACAGACCTTGTCATCAAGGTCTTCCCAGCGTCTCATGGATTCAGTAGGCCTATGCTAGTGTGATAGGATTCACTATGCTAAGCAACAGGATTTCAGCCATTATGTGAGGTCCTTGATCCATAAACTATTCACATCTTATTCCATTATTTTTCTAGCAGTGATATGGTCCCATTCCTATACACACCTATGTTAAAATTAAGTCCTGTTGAGCATAGCACAGTTTACCTCTCAGTAAACATATACAGAACCACACTGCTGGGTTCCAACTCTCTCCCCTACAAGCCCCCACACTTTTCCTTTCTATGTACAGTAGTAAAGAAACTGATAGAAGGAACTTTTCTGAATGGTTAAATTTAGCAACAAATTTAGACATTAAATCCATCACAAGGACACAGAAACACACTTCATTTCTCTACCGCTTTCCAACTCCCATGCATAAAATAGCAGAAAGAGAACTTACCGTCCTGTGAAAACAGGTACTACATAGTCAACAGCTGTGTTTTCTTTCTCCTCTAACAGCAAACTTTGCTTAGCCCGTTTTGCTTTGGGGCTCAGTTTTAGAGAATCCTCTATCATTTTCCTGAAAGAAAGACGTATTATTAGACTTATGACAGCATATGTTTATCCACAATTATATATATTAAGCAGGATCAGTTTCTCAAAGGCAGGAACATGTACTTGCCACCCATGGCTAAGCAGGTTTTTGCCAGAGAGCCAGAAAACTTGCAGAATAATCCGAAGCATGCTTAGGCATAAGAAGGTGTCACTGAGTGTAGGGAATCTCATTTCAATGCAACTATGGTCAAACCATACATTAAACAAAGCAAGTCATTAGAAGAATATATTCCTTAAGTACCTACTGTAGTTTGCAAATTAGCTTGCTTTGTTTTGTGATTGTTCAGACATAAAGGTGTGTTGGAATGCTAATATGATTTTAGACTGGAGTGATATACAGCTGTAACATACAATTTGACCTTATGTTATGAACCATAGCATTCACCCTTTTCTTTGTTTCTTCGCCAAATTCATAAGTGCACAGATCCACATGAGTATCAAAGCTTATGGCCTGCAGGTAAGCAAAATCTGCATTCTGGATTGAATTAGATATCAGGGCCCCTTCACCAAGCATGTTTATCCTTCACATGATAGAGAAGCAAAGGTAGGTAATGGAAACTTCACTTTGCCAAACAAAAGAGTACCTCTGTGATGACATGGAATAGTACTAATTCATCAGTACTACAGTCCAGGATAATGTTTTTCAGGAGAAAAAGAGATGGATTAATATATTGAGGCATTGCTATAACATGTGACATCCATATTAGACACAAATACATAATTGTACAAGAAGGGATGTTTTGTGGATATTTAGCACCATCAACAGGGGAAAGCTCCATTGTCAGTTTCTTACTCATTGTCAGTAGACGTTATGTAGTATGATAGTTGTTTACAGGTTGAATCCTTCTACCCAAGGAAAATACTTTTAACCAATACCATTTGAAATGAAATCAATTAATTTGTAAACCTTATTGGCTAGTTATTTCCACTGGCATAACACAATTGGTGTAAATCTTTTTTACATAATAATTCATCCACACATAAATCTTGTTTTACACAGTCATACATCTACACACATGTGTACACTCATATGGAAGCAATATGGATCATTCAATCTGGTAATCCTGAAGAGCAAATATTTGAGACCTTGTCAGATACTCTCAGACAAAATCTTTTGTTTTAGAACTAACCCTTTGTATTTGGGGGCATAGCAATTAGAATATTATTAATGAAAATTAACAATACAATATGTTTATTTGTACTTTTTACATTAGAGGGACAAAAATAAGGTACCAATGAGGGTCTATTTTATTTATTTATTTATTTATTCGATTTTTACCCCGCCCCTCTAGACAATGTCTACTCGGGTCATCTTATACACAGAAGTAAGCTGAGGAGAGAACAAAAACAAGTGGAGGGGAAAGCAGGGATCAAAGTGATCCTGCAGCACTTTGATCCCTTTCCCCCTACACTTGCTAAACCCCACTTAGATTTCTTAATTTTGGATTAGAAAAGTGGGGGGGGCGTCTTATACATGGGGGCGTCTTATACATAGAAAAATACAGTATATACCTTACAACAGACTTATAGGCAATTATCTGAATAAATAAATTAAATGCAATACAGTGAATCAACTCATTTGCTTGCAGAAGGTAATACAACTAATACAATCCGATGGCTTCTTGGAAAATTATTCTTCTGAATTGTTGTTCAGCCTCAAACTATGGAATCTTTATAATCCATGTTAACTCATAGTCCCTTCATGATCCATAGTCCCCTCAAAAGTTAACTGAAACAAAATTATGTTTTGAGGTATTCTAGTCAGTCTCTTAATCAATTAGGCCTTGTATATTAACATTTTAACATGCTGACAATACTTAGCACTACCTCCCGTTTTCCACCAATCCAGGTGAGGCTGTTTCTGTACTGAACTCGTGTATTGACCTGATAATGGACTGGATGAGGGTTAATAAATTGAAACTCAATCCTGATAAGACAGAAGTGCTGTTAGTGGGTGCTTCACCGGACAGGCTGGAGGGCCATTTCCCTGCCCTGAATGGGGTTACACTCCCCCTAAGGGACAGGGTCCACAGCCTGGGGATGCTCCTGGACCCCAGTCTAATTCTGGAAGCCCAGGTGGACTCGGTGGCCAGAGATGCCTTCCTTCAGCTGCAGAAATTATACCAGCTTCGGCCCTACCTGGACGAGCAGAGTCTCATGACAGTTACACACACACTGGTAACATCTCACATAGATTATTGCAATGCACTCTACATGGGGCTGCCTTTGAAGACAGTCCAGCAACTGCAACTGGTCCAGAATCGAGCTGCGTGGCTGGTGAGTGGTGGGGTCGCTAGGGAACACATCAAGCTGATTCTGTTTAAATTACTTTGGCTACCAGTTACTGCCTGGGATCAATTCAAAGTCCTTGTTTCGACATATAAAGCCCTAAATGGCTTGGGCCCCAGATTCCTGAAGGACCGCCTCCTTCCATATGAACCTACCCAGCAGTTTAGATC